CCTCCAGCCTGTCTTCTGGTCGCTCCCCATTCAGGGGTAAAGGCCTTCTGCCATAATGCGTTGGTTACCCCCAGTTCGTAGGGACCCATCACGGGTGTCGACAACAGCCGCGCGATTCACGCATACACCCAAGGCACTTCTTCCTAATTTTCCCAACGCATTAATTAAAGGTAACTGAAGACTTTGCTGAGGGGGAAAGTTGGTAGCTGCCATAGCTGTGTAACCACTCGGGTGCGATGGCATGTGAAACTATGGTGGATCACAAACGAATCTCTAAGCCCAAAGCGTGAGATGCCGTCACTCCAATTCGACTTACTCTGTACCCATTCAAACCATAGACCGCAATGGAGATGGAAGAGAGCCAGATGAATCATTTGGGCCATGCGCTCCAGGTCTGGATTATCTGATCGACCTCGTACCAAGCTCATTAAGGCAGCAATATTGTCAATATACGATACGCCTGTGGCATAACGGAAAGCATCAGGAAAAGTCACTATGGCCTGAAAAACCATTAATAACTCAAGCTGTGCTATGAGGACATCCTGAGGTCTCCAAAGGCTGAGCACATCCTCAGTGATCACCACTTCGGCTCCACGGCGAACCCAGTGTTTGTCACTCAACAGGAATCCTCCTGAACCAAAACCCTCTTCTTGCGCAGCATCCGAAGCTCCTGTCATGCGAGGGGTTGATAATGGAAAAAGTGACACTATCCTCCTGGGATTCAACCGAAAGATGTCCTCGATTACCTGGAATGCCTGCAACAAGGCGTCAGTCAAGTGGGCTGTGGTATCCAGATATTGCCTATCCTTGATGGCTGCAAGTCCTGCCCTGGCTATCTTGCCGAATGCAGCCTGGTCCAAAAAAGTGACACATCCGTACAGTTTCGCTGCAGTGCCAGCACGAAATGCCCCGTCTCTCCGCGCGGTAGCATGATGTCCAGAATCTTCTCCTGCAGCCGGGGACGGATCCACAAACGGACTACACCATGTGTTCGAATGTCCTCAAAGTCATGGACTAAACCAAGGAAATCTCCTTGAGAGTTAGGATTCTGCCGTTTGCTTTCAGCAAAAGGGTAACCTAGCAGTTCCATAGCTGTGCACATGCACTGCTGGGCTGCGGCTGCATGACTATTCCAATCTTGGAGGGTACAGTCGTCGTAGTAGAAACTGGCCATCAACCTGAAGCAGCGGCGTAAAATGGCTTGACACAGGTAAGGCAATCTATTAAAAGCAGTGACGGCCAATGGGAGGCCAAACAGCATGGAATAGTACTGCCTGAAAACTGGTCTACCCATCTGGTTGGGATACGTCACAATACATGCTGCATGGTGAGATGTCTGCATGGGAATCTTCGTGTAGGCGTCCGGCAAATCTTCGCCACATGTAACGACATCATCTAGCAGATTACTTTCCCCTGCATGCGAACAGGCTTGTGCTAGGGCTTGGACATGGGCACATGGTTGCAACGCGCTACAGAACTGGAGCTTGTTGGAATCTGCACTCCAGAGACTCTGCCCCCCAGCTGCAGCATCATCAATTACCCGCTTCTTCCCAGAAGCTTGTGTAATGACGAATCTTCTAATCAGCCTATATGATGGAAATCTGCGTTGCAGTTCATCCCATCCGAATTCCTCGGAGCACCATCCATTGGCTTGGTCTTTCCGACCTGCTTCTTCAATTGTCTCCAGCTCGGAGACCCGCAATTGCTTCAGCAAATCCTGGGCGTCCCGCGGTCCTCCTGCAAGTGCATCCTCCAAGGAAACAAATTGAGCAGGTTGGGTGTCCCAGATACCACAAGGCGGACAAAACCCGACGGCTGGGAAGCCATTGAAAAGAGCTTGGCAAAACCCAGTATCAGGCCAATGGATTATAGCAATAAGCAAGGCTACAAGGCTGAAATGAACGCTAGGATTCACGTCTCGCAACACTGGCACTTGCATGCTACGGATGTACTCAGAAATTTCTTGCAACCTATAACTGAGGGCCCGGAGCTGTTCGACAGCAAACTGCCTGGCAGCTGTCAAGCTGCTGAACTCCTGCACCATGCCTTGTGCAGCAAAGGCGATGTCCAAGTCCACTGGCGCTGGGAAATCGAGCGGTCCTCCGTCGGCTTGGACCCTTAGCGATGCAGCGAAATGCTCATCTGGGGCTAAGTTGAACGGCACTACAGGGGGGGCGGCTGTTTTGCGAGCACCAGCACCTGCTTGCTCTGCCATGCCGGCACGAAAAACAACTGTCCCAGTACGGTTGAGCATACTGGATCCTATGGGCCCATCAGCCACTTGTCCATTCTCTGACAACCACATTCGAAAACTCTGGAAAGGCGCTGAATTAATGATGTCTTCCAGCAGAGGCCACTTAACATCCTGAAATGATAACATTGGGAATTGCCCTCGAATGGCTGCCATTGCCGCAGCTTGTGAAAACATCTGCGGCACAGCATGGACTACTCTAACTGCTGCTATCCAGACCCGTCCACTGGTCAGCTGCACTGACCTGTGACCCAATCGCTGGGGCTGTCCCCTGCTATTTGCCTCCAACCACTTGGCAATGATCACGTCAACATGGCAGGTCTCGTTACTGAGGCAGTCACATGCGATCCTGCACCCTGTGAGCCCAGGAAGAAACTGCTCCAATTGGAATTCGTTCCAATGAGCAATAAACTTCATAAGAACTTGAGCGGCGCTTCCATCTCTGCCTTCAACAAAAGGGCTCTCCCATTTGGGTAGGGCTAAGCCTGTGTGAAAAATGTCCATGGCCTGCATACACCACATCTTGAGGAAGTTGCCCTGATTCCATGACATCCAAAACATGCACTCTCTTGGGGAGACCCAAAACTGCTGGTGGGGTCAAACCTAGGGCGACGGCCAGAGGCACCATAGAGTGCTCCCTGAAGGTTGCTGAGTCCCATGACGTCCATTCTCTTCGGTCACCTGAGCATTCAACAGGCGGCAAACGTGAGATGCGCAAGGTTCCAAAACCCCGATTGGCTGCCCAATGGGAACAACAGACTGCAAGGGTAAAAACCAAGCTAGCAGGGTATTCGGCTTCCTCAGCACTTGGGTAACACCAGTTGCCTCGGACTAAGTAAGGCCTCCAGTCGGTCTCATTATGCCAATGACCGCATGTCAGATCAGGCAACACTCTCATCTCTTCTATGTTGTGCCTGATTGTCTGGGCTTTCTTCCGAGCCGCCAGAAAACAACAATTGTCATACAAAAAGTCAAACCACCCACCATACTGTTGCATCCATACCTCATTAGGGTCAACCCAATGTAGACTGCGGCGGGGATTCTCCCTAAACGCTGCCCTGGACTTCAAGTGCATGACATGCTGCACAGCTAGCAGGAAATCACTACAGCTGTTGTCACTGGTAACTCTGTCACGGTCCCTACCTTTCAGGTGCGGCAGTCCTCTCGGAAACTTCTGGGAACGCAGTGGCCGTGGCCCGGCTGATCCTGGCAGGGCAATTTCACGGATGCGACTCTTAGTGCTGCAGTCCATGGCGGCACTGACTGCATGGCATTGTGGCAAAATCTTGGCAACGGCTTTCTGCACGGTGCTGCTGGTGAGATCAAATTCAGGATCGATCAGGATATCTAGCGGTTGCACCACTTTCCAACCAGCCCATTCAAATGCCTTAGCCAGTGGGAACTTCGGCCCACTAAGCATATCTAAAAAGACAGGCAATTCAGGCCCGTTGTCATCCGTGGTACACTGTTCTGACCACTGCTCCATCAAGGAGCGGACATGCAACTGGAATTCATCCAGAGCGCCTTGGGCGTCAGCTGTTTCTGGATTCTCCAGTGGTGGGACGTCACTGAGATGCTCTCAGGCTTTCTGTCGATTCTTGCACTTGGACCCTACATGATTCGGATCGCCACAGACACGGCCGCTCTTCAGGCGATGCGAGCAACGATGTTCACCATTCGCGCAATTCCTGGCCTTCTGGTGGGGGCAGCGTCCTTGGTTCCATGCTTCACATAGCGGAGTTCCATCTCGAAAGGTGGCTGCCAACTTGTTGCCCGACGGCGCAGAGACGGCCGCTGTAGGAGCTCTCGGGGCCACCGCTGGCTCAGGCGGAGCCATGGAAAGTCTTCCAGATTGAGAAGGCAAGAGGGTAGCAGCTGCCCAATGCACATCTCTCTCAGTGTAAATCTGCGGGACGATAGCTCCCAGCTTCTCTGTCCCTGTGGCATACTTCTGGCACCACAACGCTCGCTCCTGCAAGTCCAGGGATGAAACGTGGGGCAAACGCGCCCTCTCAGGGATCTTCTTCACGGTCTGCACGGCCCGGAAATGGTATTTCCATGCCAAATCCAAAGGGAACTCCACATAGTCACAGGAGTTGGTGGAAGGACCTTCTGCTGCTGTTGGCGCCGGCTGAATTGCTGTCACCTCTGCCATCGCGAGCGCGACCATGTAGATGAACATGTTGTCCAAGTAGGCCCAAACATCTTCAACCGCGACTTCGTCATCTTCGGGATCCTCGCCGACCCAGATTTTGGGGGCGACTTTGCGACGCTTGGTGGTGCCCTGCCGCTGGTTGACTAAGGACTTCACCTGGAACATGTTCAACACTTCAATGTTCTTCTTTTCAAGCGACCTTTTGACTTTGGAGAGCAACTTGTCACTGGGCTGTTGCTCGGGAGGAGGCATCCAGTGATACCGCTTCCAAAAAGATTCCTTCATAGTTGCCAAAGTGGTTGCTGGGAGGCATTCATCCTCCTCCAGCGGGATTCCCTCCACTTGGCTGGCCTCCCGAGCCTTCTCTGCAGTCACTACTGCGGCCCATGCCCTTTTGAGGCGAGCGCCCTCCAGGCGTTCATTCTCGAGCCCCAAGGGCGTGATGAAGGTAGTGACTACATCCTCTTCGTCTTTGCAAAAGAAACGAAACTCACTCAGTGACGTCACCCCTGAGGCGACTATCTTGTCGACAATCTTCTCGTCGAAATTGTACAACTGCTGCAGCTCAACGAACGTAGCAGGGGCAGAGGCCATGGTTGAGGCAACCGTCCGAGACTCCCGCGATCTTTGAGCAAAACTTCTCTACCCTTTCCGTGCAACAACAGAGCAGACACTCAGCCTAAATGGGAAACTCAAAACATGTGATCGACCTCAGCTGGGATTGCAAAATGACATCAAAATGGAAGCTTTGTCATTCCGACAAGTCCCTTCCCGGTGAGCATTCAGCTCTCTGTCCTGGTGTGGGTTCTCCACCACGAGGAAAATCAACTCCATTTTCTCTGCTACCTGTACGCAGTCACGGGAGGTCCCAGCTAGCAATGATCTGTGGCACTTCATGCCTATGACTGTCCGGCTACAACACGGGCGTCCAATCAGATCACTCAGAGACTCACGGAACACTGTCAACGCAGGTTGGTCATAATATTGAAGACAAAGATAAAAACTGACAAGAGATTGAACTGCATCTAAAACTAATTCAACAGCTGCTTGCAAACGAAGCCCTGTGCCCTCATCTAAGTTAAGGGTCCAAGCGACCAAGTAGTCCAGCAACAGGTACGGCTCCTGAGCAGCGGCGTCGGATTAGCCTCCTAGGTCATGATACGGAGGGGGATTACTCTGACTTAGAAAAGAAAACTACAGCATACTGTGCCCTCAATGAACAAAGCGCAACATGACAAGAGTGATGACTACTCAAATAGACCCGTTCTGCCACTAACTCATCGCGTTTTTGAACACCGTGCCAAGGTCAACGCGATCGCCAGGAGACTGCTGCATTCTCAAGCTCTCCAAGAGCTCCCGCAGGCATGTGCTTCGCACAACTAGAACAAAAGGGCCGATCATACACCAGTGCTTCCTGCACTGAGTTGGCCAAACTTGTCTGCCCTTTGAACGACGTCTGTGTCCTTTTCCACTGGCAGAGTGGCTTGGGTACTTGGGGATCAAAATTGACAGGTACTAGGTGCCACAGAGCTTTGGGCTGGTCCGCTGAAATAAACTGGAGGGGCACACGGGCATAGTTCGGCGGCAATCGGTCGCCTTCAGCCTTATCATTGGCCCACTTTGTGAATTCTTCCTTTGCCGGCCCCAACATCTTGTGACCCTCAATGGCTCGGAGCCGTCCGATGTGCTTCATTGTCTGGTCCAGGCTCTGCCCTTTCAGGGTGGAGACAACTATGCCGGTAGCAACCGGTGCTCGGTGTACTCCAGCCATGCAGTGCACAAAAATCGATGAATTGTGCTCAAGTGTGGGTTGGAGCAGTGGACGCAGCTCTGCCCAGTCACGATCTCTCTTCTTTGGACTCGAGATCACCCAGTGACGAATGCAGGCGTCTTTGGGGAAGACGGCCCCTTTACCCACTGCTGACTGCGCAAAACAGGTCACGACCAGCCTGACCCGGTGTCTCTCCAACATGGCAAGATCAGCTTCGCCTGGGATTCCCCCAAGGAACACAACCGGGGCGCTCTCCGAAGTACCTTTCCGGTACACTACAGTCGGGGGCTCTGGCCCATCTCCGTGGCCTGGTCTGCTCCAACGCTGCAGTGCCAGACTGTCGAAGAATTCATCTTCGACCTCCGCTGGTTCAGCAGCATCGGCTGCTCCAGGAGAAACTGTCTCGACTGGCAGATGCGGATTCTCTGCAGACTGTAAACCCGCCACAGGCAAAATGGGGACACGGTTTCTGAGTCCTCGAACACGAATCGTGAAAAAACGTTGAGTCAGTGAATTGGCATCAGCCTCGCTTTGGGCCGAGAAAAAAACCGCCTCAGGCTGTTGAAGCATGGCTGAGGCTTTCTCAAAGCTATCCTCCTTCAAAGTGGTGTAGGTGATCTGCGTCATACTGACCCATCGGGTGAAAGGTTCACGCTGTTGGGCTGCAGCAGCCATGAACAAAATAAAAGCTTGTTTGGCAAGGTCACTCTGATACTGCTTCGATCCAGTGTACCGTAAAGGCATCTGACTACGGCTCTGGTCAGGAGCTTTGTCAGTCCAATTACCCAGTGCTACTGTCAACGCTGGATGAAGTTGCACAAGGTGAGCCCATGTCACGGGCACCTGGCGCCAAGATTTGCTGGAAAGCATGCCCAGCTGGTCATCCTCCACAACGCCACGCATCACCAGCTTCACAGTATCAGTAATTGACTTTGCTGTCAGCTTCTTCTTGGTGAGGATGTCGAAACCAATCGCCTCGGCCTGCTCGTCTATCAGATGGCGCTTAAACCATGGCGCGAGGTCAAGGTCAGAGGCTAACGTTCCGGTCGGAATGACCCGAGGCGCGGTCCAAACAAACCCCTGCCTCTGTCCTTTCTGCTTGCCTTTCGGGCAGATGAAGTGCAGTGTTGTACCAGTGCACTTCACAATGCTGGACCTCTGCACGTGCGCCATGCGGACGCAACCTGCAACTTGCAGGTAGGTGACTACCAAAGCCGGTGCAGCTGCTGTGTGACGACGCACAGCATAATCCAGGGCGTCCATCAAGTTGAAAAACATGGCAGGTTCTGCTGTGGGCGCTTGCCGAGCACCAACCCCATGATGCCCTCGGGCTGCTCTAACTCGGCCCACACAAAGGCTGAGGTCCCATGCTACCCGCATGTTATTCTTAATCCACTGCAATGCGGGCAGAGCTCGAGACGGTGCATTGCACGAGCTATACCATCTGCCCAGCTGGCTTGCAGAAAGATGGCTGAGATTCAATCCTTGCTCATCAGCCCAACTGCCCAACTGCAACCATGTCAGCTTGACACGCTGGAGGGTTGCGCCCTCGGTCTGATTCAGCAGCTGGGTGAGCAGCGGTTGCATCGCTGCCGTGACCTGGTCTGCGGTTTCCCCTGCACCTGGCTGGAACCAACTGGCCAATTGCCCAATTTCTTGCAAGAAAGGCCTATACTTCTCCAGGTCAGGCGGTGGCTTCTCCACGGCTCGGACGACACGAGGCGCTGGGCGCTTTCTGGATGTTGACGCTGGTGGTTCCTCCACTGGCTGTGCCTGCCGCACTGCGGGGACAGGGGCGGCCCGGGTCTCCCGTTCCAGGAGGGCGACTAGACTCCTGTCAACTCCCGATGACACTCGGCGACGGACATCCCGCCAAGCGTTGGCGACGAGCTCTCCGGCTTCGGCCTGGGCTTCTCCCATGGTAGAGAAAAAATATGCGAAGTCACCATCGTGAGTAACTCCGTTGACCTGTCGCCAAGCTTTGACCACAGCATCAACATCCATCACTTTGAATTGGCAAAAACAACAAATTATGCCAACAATCGGTCTTCGACCTTAGAGATTCTCTCTTCAGAGATTCTCCCTGATGTTAGTCATTTTGGGAAATACTTGAGCCAAAATGTAACAGTTGGCATAGATGCATGTCTGACACAATTGAATGAGCAGCATACACCAAACCTGCCCAAGAGCACTATATGCAAATATATATATATATATGTGTAGTATGTATGATTATAATAATACGGTAAACCCAAAAATTGATCAAAATTGTAAATTATGCTACTGCTTTCATTGTTTTGAAAGAATTTTCTACTACAATACTACAATATACTGTACATCTTTTCGCGGATTTGGAATCCGGGTTTTAACATAAACCCAACATCCGGGTTTTTAAAGCTGCATAGGGCTGGATTTGGCATATGACTGTCTGACTCATATGACATATTAACCATCAAAGATAAATACACATGGGAATTATATAATCAAACGCTATCACCAAGGTGGGCTTGTAGGTAGGTCGGCTTTCTTTCCTGGAATATCTAGATGGGTGAACAAAAACCAACTTATAATGTTGGGTTTGTACGAAGATGAACATGTGGAAAATAAGAATAGGAATTAAACATCATGTTCCCACTTCACAATTGCCATTCTATGGGCAACTAGTCAGATTGTATAACGATTAAATGTCTATCCTGGATCTATCGAGTAAACCATGGCTGATGATACGTATAGTTAAGGTTTGTTCAGAATATCAAAACAGGGGTTCCCAAAAAATAATTTTGGGAGCCCCCAAATCAAATTGCTCAGGGGTTACTAATCCGAGGCTGACATTCGGGAAGGTCCTCGAAGTAAGCCTGTAACCCACATATCATCTATTGAAAACCCAAGGAAGCGGAAGAACTAATACTTACATTACTTGCATCAGTGTAAATGTTTTGTACTTAATGTGGGCTCTTGATTGGTGGGGGTTGGTGACCAGTGTCAGTCGTCTTTTTGAACTTAGACACCCATGGATTGATGGGAGGGGTCTCCTGTGAACGTTCTTCCCCAGGCATTTTTTGTTCATGTTTTGTTTTTGCATTTTTTCCGGATGATGTTTTTCAGATTTATGTGTTTCTTTTAATCAATTTCCATCAAAAAAAGAATGTTTATCAATAAATTAAAACCCAATTGAAACAGAGCAACCAAACAATTTTTCAAGAGGTAGCCCATTGGCAACTCAGAGCTCAGATCTCCAATAGTATCTTCGTTGTGGGGGGCTTCTATTGCGTCCTACTTTTTTGGGGATGATTTTTTGTAAAGTTAATTACGTCATTTTATCCGTTCCTCTACTTTAGCCTTTCTCTTGATCACAAATAGTAGATTGGTTTGGGTGGTCCTCTATTGTGTACAACTTCTTCTGAGGTAGAAATTTATACGTGCCTACCTTTATCTGCCACACACTTTCCCAATTTTTTGCAGTGCCTCTTGATCTGATTGAAAGTAAATTGATTTCCGTTGAAATCCTTTCTTATCAATTGATGTTTTGAAGCTTTAAAAGGAAAATGAATTGAAAGTAAATTGAAATCAATTGAAATCCTTACTCAAGATCATGATCCAAAACGATTCCAATCCTGTTCCATCATTGTTTTTCTACTGTCTGAATTGTTTGGGGGGTCCCACACTAATCAAGATCATATCAAGATCCTGCATTACTACAGTATCATGTATCTGTATGGAAGTGGGATTGCTATGTTACAAGCACTGCACAACTGAGATGGTTACTGATGGTTTGCTCCTTTCCTCAAAGGATTCCTTCGAGAACGGGCCCAGCATGTCCTCA